ATTTAGTTTATACATAAAACTTAAGGCTTTAGTTAATATAATAAAAAAAAAATAAAAGGGAAATTTTTTCTAATTCAATTAAAGAATTTGAAACAAATAGTATATATAGATATGCATAAGTGGTGCTTAACACATTTTAGATATCAGTTTTGGTTTTTTCCTTACAAATGGCTCTCCCTATAGCGACATTATTACGTGGTCCTTGGAAACATTGATCCAAAGCCGTTGACAAGCAAATAAAATATTTTACGTTTGTTTTATTTAACCTTTTATTTGCATTGTCAACTTGTAATTGATTGGGATCAAATAACAATTTCTCCTATATAAAGGCATTCTCGAGGCTTAGAAAATTAATCATCGATCTCCAATCTAGAGCTCTGTATATGAATATTTTTGTTAAAAATTATCCCAAAAATCTTACTCAATAATAGCAACAAAAATATATATATGAAAACACACATACAAACAAATAAGATTTGTGTAATTTTGCAAATTGCCTACGTCACGGATGAAGAACAATTATCTTTTCCAATATCAAATTACAAACTCACAATCTCTCTTTTACAATTCTCTCTCTCTCTCTTTTTTTTTTTTTCATTCTTCACATTTTTCTTGTCTCCGCAATATTCTCTCAGCCTCACCTTTATTTATATAATCTTCAATTACTATATCATTGTTGGACGAGAATTTCATAACTTGTCTATAAAGAGTTACCATATCAATTACCAATTCTAAAATATAAACTAATTTGATACATACCTAAAAATTTTAAATGTTTACCAGTATCAGGCCCTTACTCCTAAAAGGAGGTCAATGGTTCGAACCTCAGTGGAGACATATATGTGTGAGTACCAATTAAAAAATTCTTTTTTTTTTTTTTTTTTTAATATTTAAATCTCAAGATTTCAGAAATTTCGAATTCTTTCAACACTTCCACATAAATATTTAGTTGTTTGATTTGTAAATCTGAAAACAGAAATTATAAAATTATATTAAAATTTTGCTTGGTTTAATTTTCTAAAAACTCTATTATAAAAATATTTGTTTAAAGAAAATTATTTTTAATAATTATTTAAAAATAATTTTTTATTTTCTAAATTATTGAGAATTGATTTCAAAATTGCAAATCAAATATGCCCCAACTTTCAACTCTATCAACACTTTGCAATTATTCTAAATTTCCAACTCTTCACATATGTGACGTCATACAAACTATTCCTAAACACTCACAAACTCTAGTCAAATTGGTGGGGTAGGGTTGAGAACATCTCCAATCTAATGCTATATGTGCCGCCATTTCTAAAATATAGAAGGAGATGGTAAAAATGGATTCTTCGATGCAATGCTATATGGACTGTCAAATTTTAACTTTGCCAAAATTTATGCCATTTGTAGCATAAGAAATAGCTACTGCTATTTCACGCGCGGGGGAGGGGGGGGGGTGTTTGAACAATCTGAAATGATATGCCGATATGGGTTCAGATATCTATACATATATATATATATATGGAAACTGAAAGATATGGGTTTTGATTTTTTGAACAATCTGAAATGATATGCCAATATGGGTTCAGATATAATATAGATATATACATATATTTTTAAAAAATCATAAAAAATTTCACCAAATAGGATTTAGTTTGCAAAACAAGAATTACAGACCTTGATTTGTTGATTTAGAAAAAAAATTAAAACGAAACCCATACGTATGAGTTAGCAGTTGCACAGAGAGAGGGGGCAAGCTTGAGAGTTGAGAGACAGCGGTTGAAGCTTGCAAACGACGACCCCGAACTGGAACAGCGGATGATGGAAACTGAAAGATATGGGTTTTGAACTTCTGATTCTTGTTGATTTTGGAGTTTGTAGTTGCAGAGAGAGAAGGGGGGGGGGGGGGGGGGGGGGGCAACAATTTCAGAGTTGAGAAAGAGAATAGAGATGGAGACAATTAGGGAGGTTGAAATGATTTGCCCTAAAAATATATATGGCGATTTGGGAGGCTGAAATGATTTGCCCTAAATATATATATATTTTTAATAATAATATAATTAAATATATATAAATTTTTGAAAAGGAAAAAAAATTATATAATAATATAGTCAAATATATATATATATATATTTGACCAATATATATATATATATATATATATATTGGTCCTTTTTTGACCAGATATTTTAGATTTTAGATTCTTTTTAATTAAGTTTAATTTTAGTTTTCTTCTAATGTCTACAACTTGACTTGAAATGTGCATAATATTAACATTACTGATGCAAATATGAATAGTGGGAATGGTAGTTGAAAAAGAATAGTGGTTATGTCAAAAAATAGCATTTTGCATAAAATGAATCATTGAAGCAGAATTGCTAAAATGTAGTATTTTGACATTGTAGCACTATCAAAATATATATTTGGCATCCGAATTTAGCATTTTAGCATTGGAGATGCAATAGAGCTATGTCGATGGTGTGTATTCTTAATTATTATTAACAAATAAATAAGGTTCAGTTTGGTTGGAGGGTATTAGAAGGAAAAGAAAAGAAAGGTAATGTAGGGAAATTAAATATTGTGTTTGGTATGAATTTTTAAAGGAAAAAAAAGAAAAGAAAAAGAAAATGGAGGAATTCGGAAGGAAACAAATTATATAGGATGTATTAGTTTTGTTAGTCTTCAAAAAAAATGGAAGGAAAGGAAAGAAATTATTAGTTTTTTTAATAAAATTTGATTAGTACTAAATTTGCCCTTCTTTTATAAAAGATAAAATTTATGAAAAATGGTATGGTAATAAATTCATAATAATATTTTTATTATTATTATTATTATTTTTTTAAACATGATTACTATCATTTTTTTTTCTTTATTAATCAACCAAATACGATAAGTGGTTAATTATATCTTCTTCTCTCTTTCTTTTTTTTTTTTCTTTTCTTTTAACTAATCTTATAATTTTTTTTCTATTCTACCAAACATAGCCATAAAGAGTGGGGAGGAAAAATGAAAGAGATGGTTGAAGAGAGGAAGTGACGATGGGAATGATATCACATCAATTAATTGCAACATGAAAGCCAAAAGAGACGGTGGTACATATTGAAAAAAAATCAACAAAATGAGAGGGAAGTTGAATAAATAGAAAGGTGAGTTAGAAAAAACAAAAAACGAAAAAGAAAGAATGTATCCCAATTTAAACCATATGACAAAATATGCAGATATTAAACGGAACTTTTAAAGGATTTAGCTTTCCATAAAAGACTTATGAGTTATAACATACTCTGAATAAAAACATGTTCATATTTTCTTCAAATGGACTTATATGGCTTTAAAGTCCTTCAAAAACTTTCTAAAAGCTTTCCAAACGTTACCTTAACGTGTTGTTTGGATAAAAACTCTTACAAAAATAAGATCTGTTTGGTTTATAACTATGAAAACAATTTTTTATTTTCAAAAGATTGAAAACTGTAGAGAAATTTTGCTTGGCCCAATTTTCTGAAAACTCAGTTAGAAAAATATTGTTTTGATTGTTATCTGAAAACAATTTTTTATTTTATGAGGTTTTAAAAAATATTTTTAGATTTACAAATCAAGTAGACCTTTATAATGTTTGACCCTTAACATGTTTGGTCGAGTTCTCTTAAAATAATAATTTTTTTTTTTTAAAAAATTGAAAATTCAGAAATTTATTTCATTGATAGTTTTTAAAAACCCCAGTTTTAAAAAAATATTCTTTTAAAAAACTACATTTTTAAGTTTTTTTATTTATTTATGAGTTTTTTGAGAATTATTTTTAAAAAATTAAACAAAATAAGTCCCAAATTGATACAACAATGGTACAAAGATATTGTGACTCGTGTTATTCAATATATATAGCTATTCCCATCAAAAATTTGAGAAGGTTTGTCTTGAGAATCTTTATCTTGATTGAAAAATGAGAAGTATCAAACATGTCATATCATAGTATGAAAAAAAATTAGATGAAAGATACATTTAAAAGAGATCAAATGTACTGTATCAATCAAAGACAATGGTTTAATTTTATCAACTTTGATTAAAGAAATATCTTCCGAAAAAAAAACTTTGATTAAAGAAATGAAAATATAAAAACTTGATTGAAGTATGTATGATCATTTTTAAAATAAAATTTTGATTGATCAATTCTTAGATCATCACTAAAAAAAATAAAAATCATAAATACCAATTTTTTTTTTTTTATATATATTTCATACAACACATCGGCATTATTCAATAACTTAATTGATAAAGTAAATAGTGTAACTCTATGAACGAGTGTGTTTACTTTCGAATTCCCCTCTCCTTAATTTGTTAAGATAAAATTAACTAAAAGAATACTGAACATGTTGGGTGCAATAAAAAAAAAAAAAAAAACCCAACCAATTGAATTATGAAATAAATGGATATGAATAGAGGGGTAAAGTATGGCTAAAATAATAAAAATTATATATTATTACATATATACAATTTATAATTTTTGTTCATTTTATTTATGTAATCACTTGGAACTAAGGGTTAGATTTTTGTTATCTAAAATTTTATAATATTTTTTAATTTTGCCAAAAAAATATTTTAAATTACATTAAATCTTATTTTTTTTTGAAAAATAATTGGTCGTAAAAGTATCCCAAATATGTCGTTTGCAGCGTTTAAAAATAAATTTTAAAATTTCAGCACGATTTGACTATCATGCATGTCTCACACCAATAAATAATGATTCTTGATCCAAATGTTAGTATTTGAGTGAGACTTATTAATAATAATAAAAAATATACTGTATAAATCAAGCTTGAATGGTTTATTAGTGTGATCAGATTAAAACAAAATTTCAAAAAAAATTTGATCTGAAAAATGTTTAAATCATTTTCAAGACCAAATTGCAATCACAGATTATTTACTGGAAAAAATAAAAAATAAAAAATTAAAATGCAGTCACTATTCTAAAACCAACCTCGATCCCCTTCTCTATTTCTTTTTATAAAAATAATAATTAAAAATACAGTAAAAAACAAAAACCCTCTAATTTTGATCGACTCGCTCACTCTTTATGTGCTCTCTGAGCATTTTTGGTGCTTCAATGGTGGATACTTCTATATTTATTATTTGTATAAATTTATATTTATATAGATTTATATTATATGTATATATCAACGGCGGTGTTGTAGTGTGCGTGTGAACTGAAGCGATCAATGACTCTTCTTCGATCGATCTTTTTGCTGTTTTTGGTCTGCTTTGCCTCTGAATCGATAGGGAAAGAAGAAGAACAAGAACAAGAAGAAGAGTTTTCAGAGGAATTGCTGTTGAAGCCCTTGCCCGATCGCAAAGTTTTGGCGCATTTTCACTTCGAAAGCAGAGTTCCTCCCACAGAAACCTATGGCAGCCATCACCATCTCTTCCCTAAAGCCATCTATCAGCTGGTAATACACACACCAACTACACACACATTTTTTTGTAATATTGTTTATTTGTACTCGTTTGATATTTTCTATATATTTTAGGGGTCTATTAGGGTTATCGAATCTTTGAGTATTGGTTCTGCATTTGAATTTTTTGCATTTGTGTATTGGAATTTGGGCTTAGGGTTTAGGGATTTGGGTGCCAGTGACATTGATGGCCCTTGTTGATTTGGGCAGTTCACGAATCAGAACTAGATTATTCATTTTCTTAGCGATAGACTAGCTAATACAATGTTCCATTCTCTTGTTAGAACTTTAGAAGGTGGGTTAGGGTTTAGAGATAATGGTTACATTGATGCCTGATTTGGGCAGTTCACAACTCACTTTTGTAATCTTCTTAACTCTAAACTGGCTAATATTATGTCTTATACTCGTGTTGGAACTCAGAAGGTGGTCACATTTGAAATTGTAGAAAAAAATTGTTCATTTTGTGAACACGTAAGAGTAGTTTTTATGAGCTTTTTAATATGAGATTGAACTTCAACTATAAGGGGCTGGTTCCATTTGTTAATGTGAAGTTTAAATATTTACTTCTCTCTCACCTTCCTCATTTGACATAGGTGGACTATAACATCCTTTGGGATAATATCCCACTCTTCTATACATATTATTTAAGCTGATAAGTACCCTGGGCAGAATACATTTATTTTTTTAAATAATCAGTACTGACCATTGTCATCTGAGATGAATGGTAGTATTGGATACTCCTTTTGTTGAAAAAAATGAAAGCTTGGTATCCAAAACTACACGAGCCTTTTATTTCCTTTATGACATGGACCTTTTGAGTGATGCTCATTAACTATTAAATTTGACCCTCTTCTTAAAGGTCAGATTTACAAGGAACTAGGTGAATTCTTGCCTGATGAACGAATGGGTCATTAACTTAAATTTTCATCAAGAATGCTGAATCCCACTTGAAAGGTGTAGGGTAATTGTTAGAAAATCCATAGTATTTTGTTTTGGGTAACATTGTTTCAAAAATATTGGAAACTTCATATCCTGGATAAATCTGAATGCTAGTTTAGAAACCCAATGAAGTTCCTTATATGTCTTGTATTTCAATGCATTAGCCCAATTTTGGGTTATGATATATCAATTAATGTTACCCTTATCGTTCGGTCTGCTGGTGAATTTTTTTCTTGATTGTTTTCTTCTTCTTCTTCTTCTATTTATTTATTTATTTTTGTTACTTTTGGAGTCTTAAAGTGGATTCTGGTTTTGGAGTCTTAAAGTGGATTCTGGTGAGTCTGCTACAATTTTATTTTATTTTTTTTTCTTGGTAAGAAACTCACTCACACCCCCCATATAGCCCCTAAGGGGACATGAACCCTCTGCCTTCTACTTTGGAAGAAGGTGAGGAAGTACCACTAGGCTACAGCCATTGGTGGTAGTCTGTTACTTTAGAAACAATTTGAAATTTGATTTTTCTAGAGCATGGTTATTGGTTTCAATGTCTTGATTGAAATGCTATGTTTCTGGTTCTTCCATGGTAAGAAATTGTAAAGGTACTTATTGTCTCTTAGAGGGGGCTATGCACTGAGTAACTCAGTCCTAGAGACATTCTTCCGTTTTCATCTGATTTGAAATTATCATTTCATTTTACTTGGCATGAGTTTTTTCAGGGAAAAAATGAGTAAAATTTCAAGTTTGATACTTCATTTTTTAGTTGCTTGGCTGTCCAGAATTATTAATAGCCATATGCTACTGATTAGGTCCACAAATTTCAAGTTCGGGAAATGGAACTGTCTTTCACACAAGGTCGTTGGAATTACGAGCGTTGGGGAGGATATGACCCCATATCAAGCAGCAATGCGAAACCTCCTGGAGTTGAACTGTGGGCTGTCTTTGATGTCCCCAAACATCAGGTTGATGCTTCTTGGAAAAATCTAACCCACACCCTTTCGGGTCTCTTTTGTGCTTCAATCAACTTCCTGGAGTCACCTACTACTTATTCTGCTCCTGATTGGGGTTTTCGGCCCTTTTCAGGCAATTTGAGGTATGGTACATTGCCCCGCGAGGCTGTTTGCACTGAGAACTTAACTCCCTGGTTGAAGTTGCTTCCTTGTAGAGACAAAGCTGGTCTTTCTACCCTAATGGCCAGACCATCTATCTACAGAGGATTTTATCATTCTCAGCGGCTGCGTTTGACCTCATCTGAATATTATTCCGTGGGAATGAACTCTGGGATTGTTCTTGAACAAACCCTTACAGTTGTTCTTCAACCAAATACTTTGGGAATTGGTATGACACATTCCAGTGGTTCAATATTACAACCAAGCTGGTCTATGAGCTCACTTTTTGGAAGGGAAGTCAGTGGAAAATGTGTTGTTGCCAAGTCCAGTAACGTGTATGTACAGCTCGAAAAGAGTTTAGTATCTGAACTGAGGCATCTATGGAAGGAAAATGAGAGATCTGAGACTGAGATTCTCCCCTTTGAAGGTTCTTGGGGTAAACCAGGTTTTGTATTTTCTGTTTCCCCAGACAAGGTTATTAAAGAAATGAATAACTTGCATAAAGAGGGTCAATCTACTTTATATGAGTTTTCCATTGAGAATTACAGTGATTTTAAGCCATTTGATTTGGGGTTTACATGGAAATATCCTGTAGTTTGGTCATGTCCACAAGCGCCTTTACATGCTAGTAGGTTCTTAATGGGAAGTGGAAATGAGAGGGGTGCAATAGCCATTTCTTTGAAGCCTAGTAAACATAATGAGGGTTTCTGGGAAAATGATATGGATGAGGAGAGGTGCCGGTTGCGGGTTGATGTTTTTCAAGTTGTGCCTTGGTACGTGAAGGTATATTATCATACACTAGAAGTGTTTGTGAATGATCAACCTCAATCTGTGGCAGATGTGGTGGAAAAGATGCATGTTTCACCTTCTGAAGACAAGGTATCGCCGGGAGTAATGGAAATGGTCCTGAAATTACCCTGTACTGTGAAGTCTGCTGCATTAACTCTAGAGTTTGATAAGGTATGTTTTAGCTTTTAGATTGATTTAGAGTAAGAATCATCTTGAAATTGGTACTGTATCATTTTCATCAATAAACATGAATAAATGCTCCATGGCGAATGCTGAAATGACTTAATGACTTGGAGAAAAAAATTATTACTGCTGGTTTGGATGAACAGTAGATATCAAGTTCAACACTTCATCACGATGAATCCAAGACAATGATAGAGCACATCTTGCTAAATATGTATATCATATTCATGCAAGCGACATATAAATAATAAAAGCTATGCATGTCTAAATGACAGCTAGGAAGGGGAAAAGGAGAAAAGAACAAAGAAAGATGAAATGTGCCCTACTCCTACGCGGTATTTGTATCCCCAGTCTGTCTGAACTAAGCTTCAGGGTTAAGGAAAATAATTGAGTTTGAAGGTTTAAAATTATATTTTAAAAAGTACTGATCTTTTTGCAACGTCAATATCCATTTACATTATCCTGCTACAGGTATTCCAATTAATTTAGATTTGATATTGGTTCTTGAAAGAAGGAAGTAGGTGGGAAGCTTTTTTTTTTTTTAAAGGAACGAAGTGCTGGGCACTTAAGGATGCAATTTGGGCGGTTGGGTGGATTGAGAGATGCAGCTTTGGTGGTTGGGCAGATTGAGAGATGCAACTTGGGTGGTTGGGCTGATTGAGAGGTTAGCCTAGGCTCATTACAAGGAATAAAATCTTCAATGCAAGCCCAATCAAATTTAACCTTTGACATGAATTTCCCACCTTTAGTCCATTTTGCACTCAAATCTTTTAGCTCCAGTTGGAAAGTTTGGGTTGCTGATCATATTGGGATAAGTTCAGATTGACAAAAAATCAAGAATTATTTACCTCATAATTAGAAAGTAACTGAAAAAACTCCTAAAATAATAATTCATCACTAATACAAACAAATAAATCTGATGAACTATCTTCTTACACAATCCTCTCAAAATAAGAATTCTACTACTAAAATAAACAAATGAATCCCATAAATTATAAGTTTCTCAAACATTTCTACAAGACAGCCAATCACAGGACAATGTTATAAAAAATGATTGGGATTTGGCTTTGGTTGGCAATTTCAGGTTTGCTATGCTTTAGCTTGAGACCAACCAGACTCTGATACAGATTGGTATTTTTCAACCGACTGACCCAGTTTTCAAAAGATGCTTTAGAATCTTGTCAGAAATTGGGTTTAGTCCTGGTTGGCCTCACCAAGTTGCAAGCCAGCTGACGCTATTGTGTAGATTATATCTGGGACAATAAATCTTTGCACGATGAGAGTAATTAAGGCCTTGAGTGGTGATTGGTTTTGTAGACGGTTTTTGTTTCTTTATTTCTGGATATGTGGTGCATCTAATCCCCTCCCGGCCCCGCCGCACGAGTGCGCGATCTACCTTTTGAATATAACTGTATTCTTTGTTGTATTGGCTTGGAGGAGGATATCTTCTTTGACACATTTTTGTATATAAAACAGATTCTTTGTTTTATAGCTTTGGTTGGTTTGTTTTGTTTTCTGTGTGTACTCCCTATGTGTTGGGTTTTGTCCCCTTGGTGCCTTTCATTGAAAAATATTATTCATTAAAGTTAGTTGCTAATGATGTTTACAAACCTGACAGGAGGATGGAGAAAGTAAATACGTAAATCATGTTATACTGTTATAGATGATTGTGACATATGTGCAATTGCAAGTTACAGGTTTAAAGCTAAATGGTTTCCAATAGAGGTTTGGAATTGGATCTGTTAGGTGTAGTATGCTTTTCAATAGATGAAATACAGAAAACTGTGTATTGACATAGGAGTTAGACTAAATTAGCCACATAAGAGCATGGAGAATTAGCACGGCAATGATGAAGGGAATTACAAAAGGGACCTAAAACATGTAAACTTTGCATTGGCAATATAATTGGTGAGGCTGGCTATCTTTTTATACAGAAAAGAAGAGGAAATCTTTATAGGGTCTTGTTTTTCTAGGATTTAATATGTTAGAGGGATCTAGCAATTGATGAGTGGTTAAAACAGGAGACATTACCAAGGAAATTATTGATGTATTGATTATAAATTTATAACATCTATATGTACAAGTTGGAATGTGCAGTGTTGTATGTGGGTACAACAGTTGGGTTTTTGCTGCGAGAACAAGATGGATGTCAATTGTGCATATAAATAATGAAATTTATGGATTGTATAATGTTGAATGCAAAGACTTAAGAGGGGGAAGCACATTGCTAATATTTGGGGGAATGCTATGTATAAACGAGCAATAAGAAAATAAAATCACGTGTTGCGTGTTAGCAAGAATGCAAATAGGACACTCCATTAATTTCTATGGTTGCCAAGGCAATAAATGCATTGAAGATTTTGTGTGCATTTGACCTACCCTTTCATTATCTTGTTAATTATGACAGGTCATTATCTAGTTATTTTGTATACACTTGACCTGTACCCTTTCATTGAAGGTTTTTTTTTTTTTTTCCCTCCGGGTAAGTTTCATTGAAAAGTTCATAATAAGAAGAAAATGCAAACCCAACCTATTTGTAGAAATCACTTGTTATGAAAAGGGACAGTGCATCTACTTGAAAGAGTTATACAGTGCTTGCCAAACCTTAGCCTCAATCTCTAATGTCGTCCATATTTTGAGTTGTATAGTGTATACCTATATCTAGCTAATGAAGCTCAATGAATACCAGTAAGGTTGAGCATTTGCAGAGTGTGGCACTTGGGTATGACCTTCCATGTTATGAGTTTACAATGGGCGTTACCTTTGTCATAATTTATATATTCCGTCAATGCAATTATTTTTTGTTAAGCTTCTTATTTACAACTTTATAATGTTATTGCAGGGTTTTTTGCACATTGATGAATATCCCCCAGATGCTAACCAGGGATTCGACATTCCATCAGCCATAATAAGCTTTCCAGACTTCCAATCAAGTTTACATTTTCTTGAAGATGTCTCTTTTACCAATTCCCCCATGTTACGGAAATTGCAGGTACTAAGAACTGGCATCTTTTTTCATAAGAGTGCTTCGTTTTGCATTTATTCCCATTCTTTATTTTTTTCGTTGTCTGTATTTATATGCAGGAAAGAAGTCCTGTCTTGTCTTATACAGAAGTATTACTCGTGCCTTTGACGACTCCTGATTTTAGTATGCCTTACAATGTCATTACGATTACGTGCACAGTGTTTGCTTTATATCTTGGATCACTGCTCAATGCACTACGAAGACGTGTTGGTGAGGAAGAAAGACTTCTGAAAAGCAAAGGTAATTTTGTACTTCCTGGAGTAGGTTAGTATTAGTCACTGAGAATCATCAGAATTCTCAGCAACGGTCAGCTGATACTCTTTCATAGCACCTCCGTTATTTGTTAGCTTTATGCAGATGCCATAGTCTATCAATTCTCATCGCATCAATCTGCTAATACCTAGACCAATAAGTGCAAATTTGCCAAGTTCAACAGAGTCCATTCGAGTCGGTTTGAATATTATATTTATCCAAGTCGTCACTTCAGATATGCACTTTCTAAAATTAGTTCTAATCTTTTCAACTTCTAACTTCTCAAAGCAAACTTGAGATGACTTGCAATGAACCTCATCTTTCAAGTTGGAATTTAATAGAGGTAGGGGTTTCGAGTTGGAATTTAATAAGTGGAAATTTGCCCATATCCAGCTACATAAGAATGTCAATAAAGTTCATCATTTAATCTTAACATAGTGCATGCAACGTACTGAAACTAGTGTGTCTCTGATGCCTAATAGGGCTTTGTTGTTGTGTTAAGCATGCATCTTTCTTGATCATCCACTGTTGAACCTACCAACTATCTGAAGGTCTTGATATGGTCATATGGTGGCATGTCTAGCTGACGTGGGACAAGAACTGATAACAGTAAGCTTCAATTAATATGAATGAATTTGTACAAACAAGAGTGAAGCCTACCAGAGTGGAGCTCCTTAACACAAGGGAACCAAAGTCCTACACCAAGGATAGATCGAAGAGTCCTGTAATAGATGTAGAGCATCCCGCTTGCCTTTGGAGATAAGTACACATATAGCTGGATCCACTTTTCAGCGTGCCCCTTTTCCTGCACAAGAGTCATCGTTCAATTTATTGAATTTCTAATAATCTGAGAAGGCAGGGGGAACAAAGTAACAGAGGGAAAAAACAAGAAAATAAAATTAATATTGATCATTTCTATTATTTGGTTGATGCAGTTATTTGTATACTCAAATCAACATAAAATATCTAAACCTATATGTGTTTCGTCTGTACTTGTACTTTTTCATCAACTCATCCTTACCCTGCTATTGATCTTTCCTCTATTGTTATGCTTGCAGCTGCCAAGAAGACTGGTCTGCTTTCCTTGCTGCTATCCAAATTGAGACGCAGACCACGGGAACCGCCCCAAACACCATCACCATCACCATCGTCTTCGTCATCCTTGATAAGTTCTAAATTGATACTGAAAGTCGTATTAGTGGCAGCCTTTGCTGCTGGTTGGCAGTATTATTATGGATGACCCCCCAGAGCAAACACACAAGGCACGCCCTTTGTACAATATGTGTTGAAAGAATTAAATTTAGGGATTTTGGAGAAGATTTCTTTTGTTAAACAGTATTCTTTTGGTTTGTATCCATTTGTTGTATCATTTCTGAGTTACTAATCAATTACGTATGCTGAATTTCATCACTGTCAATTGGTCATCATATCTAATGCAAGTTCAAGATAGAAACTTTCTTACTCGGGATATTTTAGCTGTGATGCTATATGGTTTGACAAATTTATTAATCCTGATATCATACTGGTTTGACCTTGATTTTACTGCTTTATACATATTTTGCATGTTTTGGAGAAGTAAAATGGCATTTTTCTCATAAAACTACTTTGGATGAAGAACTAAAATACTTACGGTCTTGGTGTATGTTGCAATGCAAGGTGGTGGTGTATATTGCTATGCTGTTTCCTTTTAAAACCCCGTGGTGTTGGCCTAACGGGCGAGAGCTCTCGGCCCTGGTGCTTCATGAAACATCAGGTTGTCTAAGGTTCAAGCATCTGATTAAATAATTTTCGTAGAATACCCAGTAGTCAGGCTGAGCCTTGGATTTGCCCGGTGCACGTCTGATTAAATAATTTTCGTAGAATACCCAATAGTCGGGTTTAGCCCTGGATTTGCCCAGTGCATGTGGCTTCCGTAAAGTGTAGGGATTTGGAAAAAAAAAAAGTGTTTCCTTTTAAGTTCGCCCCACAAAGTGGTTTGAATAAAAGCAGCCATGAGAAAATGTAATTTTCTCATTCAAAATAAATACAATCTATAAGCCAAAATGAATAACTATTTCTTATTATTTTGAAAAAGAACTTCCAAAACGTGAATTTGGATTATACAAAGGTTATTCCTAGACGCGACATGCAAGGAGCACCAAAAATTATAGCTCAACAGCTTCAAATACTGCAAAGTCTGGGATTCACCTTTTTTCTTTTCTTTGGCATCTAAATCTAGCATTACATCACAGACTGCAGAAAACTTTTACATATCTGTACGCTCATTCACATTTCGGTTATTTACAGCGTTGGCATATTCTATCTGAAATTGACAGAACAAAGGCAAAGAAAAGAAAAGTACAGAGGTCTCATCTAGTCCTTTTTACTAGCAGCAGTGACAACCATGTCATCTTCTCTCATCCGTTTCAAATGTTTACTCGCGTAACTGCATGGAAATTTGGTGTTTGGAATGGTACAGCATAGGTCACTCTCTCCCTTGAAGACCTGGAAAATGAGCATTGTTTTGAATATGATGCTTCAACTTTCGTAAGAAGAGTTGTTCAAAAGTTATGGAAACAAAAAACAGTTGATGAGCGTCCCCAAGGAGGAACATCGGACACCCCTAGTTTGCTGTTAGGCCAACATCCATGATCAGTCCAGACACAAGTTTGAACCCCACTTGTTGCATTTTTGTCTACGCACCTTCCGGAAATGTACCTGAGCGAGGCTCATTCTCTCTTAACCTCTTCAGTGGACTGATATCTTCCAAACATTGCTTTCTCTTCAAGCTGAATGGCCTGGGTCCATCACATTTTGTAGTTTGATTGGTCTGATCTTCATATCCTGAAAACAATAGTTTAAAATTTTAGTTAAGCAGCAGTGGCGCAAGTGCTGATGTTGCATCTAAAAAATAAGAGTGCTAGGTTAACCATTCAAATCTTATTGTTTGCCAAAAGGGAGCAAAGAAAGTTTGACGAAAAAGAACATGCACAACCCATGCTGCTTTGACAAAAAATGGCATCCCGAAAAAATAATTCTGATGCTAGTTCATTATTTAAATATAACCCAAAATTATCACAAGTTCGTGCTAATGCACTTGTTTAACCAATCCAGTGCTAACTAATGCCTGAATCCAAATACTTCATAACATTCAACCATCTTTCAATAAATTATGGAAATAGGCATAAAGGTCAGGAAGTAAAAGCAAATGGCATGCAGAAAGCACAAAACTAATACATACAACCCCAAATTAACATTACCAGAGTGGCTTTCTCTTAACTTTCTCCTCTTACGCAAGTCAGTATCTTCAAGCTGTGGCTTCCCATTGATACTAATATTCTTGTGAACAATCGAACTCGGGATCCCATTTTCAACATCAGCATGCAAACCTGGAGAATCAGAACTCATTTTAAAGAAGGTAAAGGTCTTTAAATTTTACACTGATAAAAGATAACTAAAAAGGGGTTCTGCATACATCATTGTGTAATATTCTCTTCCCTTTTCACTGGTCATGAATCATTTGAAAATTGCCATTAAATATTTGAGACTTAACATATAATTGAACAAGTTTAAATAACTAATGAATATGACAGGGATTTCCTAATTACAATGATTCATTACAATGAGACGTGCTTCTTTGTAATTCTTCTCATTCATTTGCACGAACTACCTTTCTGACGCAAAAGCAAAAAGGTTCTCTCCAATTTTTCTTCTTGTTCTTTTCTTTTGACATGCTTGCTTTTTCTCACAAAATCATTTTTGATTTTTAAATGCTAATACCAATTTTTTTTTTTTCTTTTTTATTCTATAACACAAGCTTCACGCCATTTTCCCAATTTCTCCAATTTTAACGACTCTTAAATTAAACAATCTCCCAATCTTATTATTTTGATATGACATTAGTAATTTTACTGAATTTATAAGAATTTACTATAAACATTTGGTAGGACACATCATATTTGGTGCAATTTAAGCTACCTAAGGCATATGAAGGCAACTAGATACATCAATGACAAAATACCTGACAATCTCTAATGTTTAAAATATTATTTTGAAGATCAAGATTACAAGAAATTCAGTCTTCTAAAAGAGGTCTAGCCTGCAAACAGTACAAGGAAACTTCTTTTTGTAATTAACAAAAAAGATCTTTTAGGATTTTTGCACCATGTTAGATGTGGAATGATGGAACTAATGATAAAATGGCAAGATATTCCCTAAGTAGATTAAAAGATCAAACAAGAAAATCCGCATAAGGCAATCTTAGAACCAACAGTTAAGAGTCTGATTGACCGTCCCTCGAATTTGGAAGATCCCATTCACAATTCACATGGCATTTTAATGTGCAAATCTGTTATTTTGGATGAAGAAATTTGAAGTAAAGGAGTTCAATCATATTTCTCCTTACATGGTAAATTTTTAGGTTCCTTTCTGAGATAAATATCATTTTTCAAATGAAATCCATTCAAGATTATAAATTTTTACATTAATGAATGAGCTATTCAATTCAATGGGCCATTCAAACAGGCCCTCAATTTATCTCCAGTAGTCTGATTCCTGCTCTTACACCTCTTCTGTTTTATATTTCATATATTTTTAATAATAATAATTTTTTAGAAAGGAACAAGTTTCTTAATCCTACCTTGATTACTCTTCTCAAACCTGCTAATAGTGCCATTCGATAGCAATCTAAAGTGGTGAATTATCCCACTAAAAATACCTTGATTAAACTACACAATTCATAAGTAAATAATTTCCAAATTAGCAAGAATATTGAAGTATTAGTGCTTCTATATTTCTTATCCTGTCTAATGTCTCCAAACTAGTGATCAATATACTTGATCATCAGAATTGAAGTCAATCTAAATCTCAAGACCTGAATTTCCTTAATAAGAAAACGACCATGGAATTTCAGGTAAAAAAAAAAAAAACACAGAATTTATTTTGCAATAAAGTTGGCACTATTTTAACTCTGTACAACAAACTTTCAACATAATAATTTCTGTTATTAAAGGCAATCGAACAGCAATGACCCTGTGAGAATTATCATTAAGCATGCTTCAATGAAGAAAACCAATTACACTTTGAAATGAGCTTCTAGAGAAGCTCTTAAACAGTAGATTATCTTATGTGGATTGCATTATTTTATACTATTTCTAGGTTTTCTTTGTTGTTTAATATATCAATTACCAAATCCAACTACAACTCTTTCCGGTTTCCTAATAGTGGGTACAGACTAGCAGATTTAACAAACTAAGTGGAAGCATTCTATATAACACCCTTTCTTCTTATTCTAGACTTCTCATTTCACACTCAATTCAAATTTTGTATTTCAATTTCATTCTGTCTCCTCCTATTTACAAAAGGGTAAAGAAATCCAAAAACTTTGTTTATCTTATTGCAGATTTTCTCAGCAACCAAACAGAGGAATTTCCTACCCCTTTCTTCTTATTGTAGACTTCTCATTTCACTCACACATCAAATTTTATATTTCAAAATCATTCTGTTTCCTCCTATTTACAATAGGATAAAGAAATTCAAAAACTTTGTTTATCTTATTGCAGAGATTTTCTCAGCAACCAAACAGAGGAATTTCCTATTACTTAAACAACGAATTCAATTATCTTGAACTATTTTCAAGACTAACCCAGCAAACTAAAAAAGAACCCAAAAAAAATAAAAAAACAAAATATATATATATACACACACATTAACTAATAAAATAAAAATAATATAACATGATATATTACAAAGTTTTAATTCCATTCCGTATCCTCCTACTTACAGCAGGATAAATAGAGTAAAAAAAAACTTTGTTCATCTTCTTGCAAAGATTCTCCCAGCAACCAAACAGAGGAATTTCCTATCACTAGAACAAAATTTTCAACCCTTTTTGAACTAATTTCAAGAACTCTTTTGAACAAATTTCAAGAATCAAGACTAAACTCAGCAAGATAAAGAAGCAAAAACACGTTAAAGACATTGAAAAAGGGTAAGAGCTAGGGCTTATTACTCACGCTTGGTTCGGAGCTTGGAGGGCTTGCCGTCGACGATGAGGGCGTCGGCGTCGGCGGTTCCGGTGGACAGACCTCGAGCAGAGAAGAAGGAGAGAAGCGATTTCCAAGTGACCGATGAGGCGACGAGATCGACCCCCCTGCTCACGAAGTGGCCGTTGAGCTTCAACGTCCAAGGGTCCACACCAAAGGTCCGGGCTATGGAACCAAGGTCGAGTCTCTGCTCTTCCCAAGCCACGAATGGCACCGACTTTGAGAGAAATGGGCAGTAGAGCCTGATCGTTCTCCTTCCCTCTCCTGACATATCTCTTTCTCTCTCTACCTCACTCTCTCTCTCTCTCTATATATATATATTTCTATATAGTACACACTAAACGCACTCTCTGTCTGTTCTTCTAAGTTCCAACGATTTCTGGAAGAATCTCAATTCTGAAGAAAAGTTCCTATAGTTGTCCAAAAACCAGGTGGAGGTGGGTTACGGGTTGTACTTGGATCGGTAAAGGTTTAGCCCGATTGTATTTTTTAATTGGATCCGGTCAGGTTCCACAAGCTAAAGCTAATACTGTAGTACTAATAAATAATAACCAGACAGTTTCTACTTTCTAAGATTTAAGAGAAATCAAATAAATTATTTAACATATCTTTCAATTAATTGATTTAATTAGAGATTATAATTCTAGTCATAAGTTACGAGGATGGTCTCTTGAAAGTTATACAGTTATTCACTTCATACTTGTCATTTTCAATCATTTTATAAAATTATTTATTTTTATATATTTTATAAAATAATTTAATAAATTAATTTAGTTAATTTAGGGTTTAAATTTGTCAGAGGGATTTATTTGTATTAGATTCAAACTTTAGAGATTTTTTTGAATTAGAGGACATCTTCGAATAGTGTTCTTTTAGGTCATTTTACAATATTATTTATTTTTATATATTTTATAAAATAATTTAGTAAAGGTATTTTAATTAATTTTGAGTTTAAATTTATGGGAAGGATCTATTTACACCGAATTAAAATTTTAAAAGTGTTTTTACACGTGAAGAGCGCGATATGCACAGCACGCTATGCACAGCAAACCAAGCATGTGCACAGCAAACAAAGCATACTCTTTAGGGGTGTTTTACGCACTTGAACCTTTAATGGTGTTACAACCGCTTTCAGAGAGGACCAAATTCAAGTGTGCGCTATCAATGAGGGAATGAGATACCAACGACGGATACTTCGTGGTCGATGATGATGACCAGAAATTCTGACGATGACAAAAGAGAATAGAAGATTTCGGTGATGACTTTCTTTGTTCACTGTCATTTGGTCGACGATGGTGATCAATGGTGATTTTAGGCTTCGGCAGCGACTATTGATGGTTTTAGATACATTTACAAGTTTATTTCTTGAGTTTGTGAATGGCTCTGAAACTAATTTCATCACTTGATTGAGTCTGAGGTCTAAACCGAGAGTGGTTCCATTGGACACATTGAATCGGGTGGGGAATTTGGATGCATCGAATTGATACCACTCTCGTCGGAGAGGAACTTGTTGTAGTAGGCATCGACGTCAACATCGCTATTGAAGACGAAGACGAGGCCCATCTATGATGATTTTTCTCACACTTGGGCCGGAGGCTGTGGTGGTGTTGGGTTCACCATGGCTATTTTTATTTTTTTCCCAGTGGTTGTTGCGGTGATTGTGGTGGTGTTTGAGGCAGTTGTGTTGTAGTTTTTTTTTTTAATTGTGGTGATGGTAGGGGTGTCTAACTGTGGTGTGTTTATTTATTTATTTTTTAAATTGTGGTGATGGCAGTGATGTCTAACTGTTGTTGTACTAGTGAGGTTGTTAAAATCCATTCCGTAGAATTGGATAATAAATAATAAGATTCTACCAAATTAATAAAAACACAAATCAAATTAACTTTCTCAACAAAAATTATCTTTCAAAATAAATAAAAAATGAGTCAAAAATACAAATATATATATATATATATATATATATATATTAAAATTTAATTTATTTATTTAGTTTTTGGAATGTAAGACAAATTTTATATAAATGTAAATATTACATTGAGTTTCAAAAACTTGTAGTTTGCAAAGCCCATTTGGCCCTGCTGTACAATAGAGCACAAAAAAGGTATAAGGCCCAAGATAAATATTTTTTAGGCAAGTTTGGCCCAGTTCATCTTGCCCATCCGAAGAGAGCAAAATTCCCCAGCCAAAGCTGCTTCTTCTTCCCCAAAACCCTCTAATGATGATTAGTCGGAACCATTTAAATCTTTTTCAATAGTCAATACATAAAGATATTACAATCCATTGGACTGATGTGGCTAACTAATAAAGTAACCGGCCCAACCGAACATTATGATTCTGACTATTAGTATTATTTTGGTGGGGTGGCCTGAAATTCAACTTTAAACTTTAAAAGTTGTAGGGCGAGTGCTAAACAAAATAAAAACAATTTTTTTTTTAAGCCATTGGCTTGCCACAAGGTTCGCGCTTTGTGATGAGCCTTTGAATAACAATTGTGCGGGACTCGTCGTGTGGCATGGCCCACACCAATGACATTCATATATGGACTTGTGCGGGACTCGTCGTGTGGTATGGCCCACACCAATGACATTCATATCCGGACTCGCTACACATGCAACATATCTGATGATTGGTCTTATAGAGTGTAAGAAAACCAAAGGACAAGCCTAGTAGACCGTACCCGGGACAAGAAAAAGCTGAGGAGGTAGAACTAGTCACATGGTAAGACTTAAGAGTGTTATGCGGATAAAATGACAGTAAGTATGACAATATGTGATGGTGAGGATGTAACAGTGACAATACATGAGAGGCAAAAGTAATTAAGATTTTAAAATAAAAAAATTAGAATTTATAATAAAATTGGAAGGAAAAAAAATATATTAGAAATCAGTTTTTGTAATGGTTATAATGTAAAAAAAAAAAAAAAAGGTTAGATTTTTTGGTGGTGGGACCCACCACCACTTATCTTCATTTTGTGGCCTCACTTCTATCTCTCCCGATCTGGTTCTCTCTCCCTCCTTTCTTTTTTTTTTTTTTTTTTTTTTTTTTTTTTGGCAAAATTCAAGCTTCAAGTTCTCTTTCATTCCTTGGAGTTTTTGGGTATCGTTTGCAGCAAATCGAAGAGCTCGGTGAGATCTTCAAGTTGATGTAAGCAATTTCAGCTTTCGGTCACTCTAAGAATTTCGAAAATTTGAACCCATTTGAGAGTTTTCTACAAAATTGAGGTAGGAGTGTTCTAATACCCATTTCTTTGAGCTTTGTGAGTTAATCTCCTTTAATTGATGTACAAGCATACTTTTATTGTGCTAAATTCTTGAGATGAAATTTATATATTGTATACATAATTTTTTTTTATGTTGTAGAAAGTGTGTGATTATGTGATAGCCGCCTTATTGAGATGATACATGCTTAAATGATGTTAATTTAAGCCTTATGTATTTAAGTTGTTGGATTTGCAAATTGAAAGTATGAAAAATGCCATGAATTAGAAATGTGAGAATGTGATATTGTGCGGAAATTCATAATTTAAACATGTCTAATTGATGTGGATGATATGTACAAAATTTTTATATTGTCGTAGCATTGAAGAATTTGCATAATTCATGCATTATATTGGAAAAGTAAAGGGAAAAGTTTATTTTAAAAATAAATGAAATTATTTTTGGGAAAATATTTCCTTACGAAAACCGGACGCCTAGGAGGCGCCTAGTGGTCCGTATTGTTAGTGTAGTCTAGAAGGGAGTATGGTTGAGCTAACTAGGCCAGATGCGATGCCTTGGAGGTGCCTTGTGGTCGTGAATAGTTAGTCAACCCTCCATTCGTGACACCTTGGAGGTGCCTTGGGTCGGGTTGCACTAATGGTTTGGAAGTTGAAATGGAAATGTTTCGGAAATAGGGAGTGACATGAGCATGGCATTGCACTTCATTGGCATACATGGTGTATTTGTGACTTGGATGACATTTGTGTTTATATTGGATGTTGTGGTTATGGTTTACATCCTCGGTATAGTATGATCCCATTTTTATGCTTTCTATTCTCTATGTGGATTCACGGGGTCATAAAAGGTGTGTCGTAGGTACTTCCTACTGAGCAATTTGCTCACCCCTTATATTTAACATTTTTCAGGACACGAACGGGAAGTGGCGGACGATGCTCTTCCACAGGGTTCGATGGGTTAGTAGATCGTTTTGACATACTTTACAGCTATGATCTCATTTTATTATTTATTTATTATTATTATTATATAAACCCTGGGATGACACGTATATTATGTATTGACATGGGACAGGATGGTAGTGTCCTTAGTTGACCTTGGGTTCGGGTAAGGACCCGGTTAGCGATTCGGACTCCCGGGTTCGGGTCATTACAAAATTGGTATCAGAGCTATGGTTCGAATACCATTAGGACGATGGGTAGAGGCCTACTTAGGGTTATGTGGGAAGTTATTTGTATTATTTATGAGACTATTTGCTAAAGTGTTTTGTTAATTGGAAAGCATACTTAACTGTTACTTGTTTACATGTTTATGTGCTTACGGTTTTGAAAGATGTGCTCCTTTGCTATGTGTTTACATGTTTATATGTTTATATGCTAAAGTTTATGTTACATGGCCATGTACAATGAATAATTAGATGATCTAACCGTGTAAATGAAATGTGAAGAGAAGGAAAGCATGTTGATTGTGTATGAGGAGCATGGTGACGAAAAGTGGTAGGCACGGTGTGTGCAGTTCTAAATTAAATGCTAATGTGACAAGTAATAAACATGGTATATGCAAACATGTTTTGTGTAGCATTGTGGGTTTCATTCATTTTGTATATGTATATGTCTATATTCATATATGTTTATGCGGTTGAGCATTGGGGTGGTTGCTAGTACGATAGAATACTTGTCATGGCATTGATGGTTATGTGAGTTTTAACCTGAGTAGGCGAAGAGCTCGGTTGCTCCAAGGTTGTTTGGGTACTAGTTCTTATCGAACGAATTGCTTGGTTTTTTGCTCGTGGATTGATCTATTTGGTATGTAGTCATTTTGATTTTCTTGTTGCATTTGTGCGGTGCTTAGAACACGACTTCAGAATGAGTTTGTATTTCATGTCACGGTGGTTATGTTGTATGTGAGTTTCATGCATCGGTGTATAGGTTCTTGTGACCGTGGGGGGTCAGGTGTGCGAGTGAAGGTTTTGTGGGAGAAAGGTGTTACCTTAGGGGGTTAGTGATTACGACTTGGGTTACGGTTCGGTGCAGAGATTCTTTTCGAACCGGTTTGAGGTGGGTGTAACAGAGGTTGCTTGAGTCACGAGTGTAGTCTATGGGTTGTAGACATGTATTTTGGGTATTCTGGTACGGTCCGAGGAAACGTGTTGGTCATGATTGTCAAGGGGACTCGTTAG